TTTCACATGCATATGAGGTTATTGAAAATATCATGGCTTGAGTCAGGAGCACATTAGTCCTCAAACTGACATCTTTGCTATTGAACATTTAAAGTGGTCTTGTGCAGCAGATTTGTCTAATGTAATATATCATTTGATTTCTTGACTGCTGTTTCCATGGGTGTTGATGGTTGATCTGAGCAAAATGAAGTTTTTGACAACATCAATCTTCTCTCCATTTATCTTGATATTATTAATTGGTCCAGTTGTGGGGATTTCTGTTTTCTTTACACTTAGCTGCAACCCATACCAAAGACTATATAGTCTTTGGTCTTCATCAGTAAATATTTCAAGTCCTCTTCTCTTTTGGCAAGAAAGGTTGTATCATCTGCATTTTGCAGGTTGTTAATGATTCTTCCTCCAATACTGATGCCATGTTTTTCTTCATATAACCCAGCTTCTCGGGTTATTTGCTCAGCATACAGATTGAATAAGTATAATGAATGAATACAACCCTGGTGCACACCTTTCCTAATTTTAAATCATTCAGTGTTCCCTTGTCATGTTCGAACAATTGTCTCTTGGTCATGTACAGGTTCCTCATGAGCACAATTGTTCTGGAATATTCATTCTCCATATTTGCTCCAACTCATACTGATCCTGTATAATGTTTCCAAGCAGCAACTGTAGGGTTTGAACTGCAGTCTTTGCAGTAGTAGTCCAGTGCTTATCCTACAGCTTCACACAGGGACTCCTGTTTCAGAATTATAATAATTATACTTACAATAATATTTATAGAAATAAAAAATTCTGTATCTCTCCAAATATATATATGGTTGTTTTTATGTAGCACCAAGTTGATTATAGCTCATAGTAACCCCATGTGACAGAGGAGAGCTGCCATCTGACGTTTTTATGGCTGCAATTCTTTCAGAAGCAGTCAACAGATTAGCCCCACAGTAGATATGAACCACCAGTCTTTCAGTTGACAATCAAGCACTTAACCATATGCACTGCCAGGTCTTCTTACATACACATACATTTATATGCATACACATATATGACTATATATGTATGCATCTAAATGTTTTCATATAGATAGGTACATATAAGTCTATAAATGTTTGTGTGTGTTTGCATGTGTTTTAGGGACACATAGTTTTATAGTAAATTCAAAGAGAATATAATCATAAAGCTAATAATCCCTAAAGCCAATTCATCCCAGGCCTTGGTCCTGTCCCAGTTCTATAAACTAACAATTTACTCCATTCACCATGTCTTCCCTAAAGGGTACCATCTGGAACATATTACTGTGTTTTGTTTCATTTTATAACAGGCATTTCTTTTCTGTCACTATACAGATTTAAATAATTTGGTAGTCTTAAACTTCGAAACTACCAGCTGCTCCGCGGGAGAAAGATGAGGCTTTCTGCTCCCTTAAAGATTTACAGCCTCGGAAACCCTGTACAGTGTCGCTATGAGTCGGAACCGACTCCACGGCACATAACTACAACATCAGCATACTAGTTATAAAGGAGCTTTGGTAGCATAGTGGTTATGAATCGGGCTGCTAACCTCAAGGTCGGCAGTTCAAAACTACCAGCTGTTCCGCGGGAGAAATATGAGGCTTTCTGTTCCTGTAAAGATTTACAGCCTCGGAAACCATGTACAGGGTCGCTATGAATTGGAACAGACTCTTGTACTAAGTCTCCTGGTGTAGCTCTGTACAATCAATACTGGACTGCAAACCACCAGGTCGGCAGTTCAAACCCACCAGCTGCTCCTCTGAAGCAATATACAGTGTTGCTATGAGTCAGAACTGACTTGACAGCACGTAACAACAACTCTTATACTAAGAAATACTATTTTAATTTTTTAATTTATTTTGTATTTGTTCAGATTATATGTACCATTTCAACAATTTCCATATGTACCAGTTAGTGATTTGGTTACATTGTTCCATTTGTGTAACCATTCTCATTCTCCTTTTCTGAGTTGTTCCTCCTTCACTAATTCACTGCCTCCTAAGAGTCCTGTCTAAAACCATTTTGATGAATCATTCCATCATAAAAATATAGGTCAACTACCTATTTTTGGGTTAGGTCATGAAGTGAACAGTGAGTGATGTAAATAATGAGTGCTCAGACAGTCAGGAATAGCTCTGATATGGTTGAAAAAAAGACTGGGGGCCAAGAGTAATTTTGCAGAAATTATTATGCTTTTTTGTTTTTTCTGCTTACATTTGTCTAGAACTAGAGATGAGGGATAAATAGACCCTTGACTCAAGAAAGACAAGGATGGTAAGACAGAGCATCCTGAGCAGATGAGCTAGTCTAAGCAGCTCATCATACCAGAGACAGAAGAAAGATTAACACCCAGGAGTTTCCTATGAAGGGAACAGGCCAATAGATCCTAGGTTTTCTGATACTCTGTTTTAAATTACTGTTTTTCTACTCCAATCCCATTGTGTTATCTTCAAGACTTAGATTATGTTGTTAAACACACACAACTTGCATTAGTTCTGTTTTGTGAAATCAAGAGAAGGGACCAGAGCAACTTACAGTCAGATGGCAAACTGAAATTTTCCAGTTAAGCCATTCATAGCAAAGAGCTGAGAAAACTGTGCAACAATTTTGAGTATTAAATTGTGGTTCCTTGGTCTTCCATGGTAGCAGTGACAATTACTGGCGGGACGTGAGGACAAGCATGCATATAGTACCACCTAAGGCTGCATGAGAAGGACAGTTGAAAGGCTGGAGAGTTGTCTTAAGGTGGGATTGTGATATACGCTACTTGAGAAAGGTTGGCAGAGAGAACATAATGAGTGAAGCGAAGACCTTTTTGAGTATTTACTGGATCTTCAAAAATACAAAGTAAAATTTATGTTTTTGATAAAAAAAAAAAAAAGGTTTTTGATAATCACAGGAGCAAAACACAAAGGAAAAAATAATACCCATATCTCCCCAATAGACTTACCTATGTTATAGTTGTTGTTAAGTGCCGTCGAGTCGGTTCTGACCCATAGCGACCCTGTACAGGGTTTCCGAGGGTGTAAATCCTTACGGGAGTAGAGAGCCTCATCTTTCTCCCGAGGAGCGGCTGGTAGTTTCGAACTGCTGACCTTAAGGTTCGCAGCCCGATTCGTAACCACTACGCTACCAGAGCTTACCTATGGTCTAGAAAAATCTCCCTTGCAGGTTAAAAACTGAAAAGTTCCTTCAGTCAGTCACTTAACATGGCCAAATATATAGGTAGTTGACTATATATATGCATATATTCTGATTCATAGCTATCTTGTATAGGTTTTCTGAGGTTTTAAATCTTTGCAAGAGCAAAAAGCCTCATCTTTCTTTTGAAGAGTGGCTAGTTGGTGGGCTCAAACAGCTGTCCACTGCAAGGTCAGTTTGAACGGACTCAATGGCACTTATCAACAACATATATTTATATGATAGGGTGGCATGGTGGCTCTGTAGGATAAGCACTGGACCACAAGGTAAGGAATTTGAGCACTCCAACAATCCAAGGGAGAAAGTTGAGGATTTCTGCTCCTGCAAAGATTACAGCTACAGAAACCATACATACAATGTCACTATGAATTGGAACCAACTTGATGACACCTAGCAAGAACAACGATATTTGATGGTCTTAAGTTTTGACTTTCTATTTCAAAAGTCAATGCTTTGCGTACCAGTCAAACTTAACTAGACAATGAGGACTTAGTTACTTCGGATTGCATTTGTTTCTAATGCATGTTATGCATTAAGAAGTTTAGGAAATTAATAATTTAAAAATACTAATCATATAATTGGAGTTCTGGTGTAGTACTGTAGGTTAAAGCATTGAACTGCAAAAGTCATTTTGAACTACAAGATCAAAGATTCAAACTCACAGGCCACTCCTAGGAAACCCTATACAGGGTCACTATGAATGAGTTGGAACTGACTCTAGGACACTATATTTTTTGTAGAACTATGCCAGCTTTTTTCAAGTATAATATTTCATGAGGAAAAAAAAAAATCGACACTACAAGAAGAATAATGAGTTCTGGTTACCTACAACTATAAAACTGATCGTTATTTTCTTGCGACTATATATGCCTTCTTGGACTTCCTGAAATACCTTTAGAAGTAGAAGTCGATAATATTCCTAAAGTTGCAGTATATCTAGGAAGCTCAACCTTTGCAAAGTCAGCCATCCCATTCAGGACAATTCACTTGGTCACTACAGTTTCCAGGATCACCTGGTCAGTTGCATTTAGAAACATGATCTGTCTAGTCAGGATTACAGTTCTTTTTCTTTCTTCCCTCAGTATACAATGCAGTTAATTATCACCCATATGTTTCATTTAACTTTCTGAGGTTATTGAAGGTTCACATTTTTAAATGCATCTGATTAACTAAATTCATTTTTTTAGAAAATGAAAATATTCATTTATGTACATAAATAGGGTAAACATCCTCTGTTTTTGTTTCACTGTTTTTAGGAGGTAGAGAAAATACTGAGAAAAATGAGAATAATGATGTTCAAACATTTTTTTTTAATGTGAAAGACTGTATGTACAACTGCAAAAGCATACGTTTAATAGAAAGCTGTAGCACAGGATTTGACACTGAAGACTTGTAGAAATTAGATATATAGAATATGTGTGATGTCATAGTAAATATAAAACTGAAATAGAACAACAAAGTGGAAATTATCTCTTAAAGTGAATGTTGTGCATCACCCTGTCAAGTTCTTATTACTTTGGAGTTGTTCCCTCAGTCACCAAGTTAGGTATGCTAATTTCTGAATAGAGTTTACCTTTGGTGATTGTTTCACCTCCTCCTGTTGCCCAAAGTGATCAAATACAGCCCTCTAGAAACTGGATAAGTCATTCCCTTCCTCTTTTGTTTATAAGCAGACATGAGGTAGGCAGATACCTTCTGAAGTTTTATTCATGCTGTGTTTCTTCTCCTTGCTGCAACAAGACAAGTCTTTTATTTTAACCTGGCTGCCTTTGAAGAAGTGACTCAGACATCTTCATGGCCTCTAAAGGTAAATATAATCAACTAAACACATTTTTACCCTATATTATGACTTAATAATATATGGGCATAGAGGTATTATAATCAGAGAGATCGATTCATGATTTAAGCTCTGTCATTTCTCACTTTTAGATGCTGCAATTTAAAAATATTTAACTCTAAACAGTATGTGTTAAAAAAAAAAAAAACTGTACCTGAAGAAATGTAAAAAAGAAGATTCATATAAACAATGCTTTTATTATTATGAATGTTTTGTTGTTATTAATAGAAAATTAATAAGAAACACTGCAATAAAGCTTAGAATGAGAATATTGAATGACAAAAATAAGAACGGGTTGCTATTCCAAATTTAAAGGAACATGTAGAATATTTTTCACAATCAGAGTAGAAAGTGTTAAAACTATAGTCCAATAGTTTTTCCTTTCCTATTAGTTGTAATAAAATATGAGATACAACCACTTATTATGAATTAAATTTGTGTTATTTATTATTAAACCTCAGTTTGGTGGACTACAAGTAATATTTTTGAATTAAGAAGCAAAATCCTTCAAAATTCCTCTGCTAGTAAATTAAATGTAAAAACTTGAAGGATTTTGTATTGTAGTATAAGTACACAGATTAAATGGGGACTTTAGAGGACAGTTGATAAGTTTTCCTCAACTATTTGAAATGTTAGAAATATCATTAGTATTGCCTTACTTCAAAGAAGTCCCCAAAAGACAATGAATATGGGTGTTTTTGTTTTTTAATGTAAAGTGTTGCAGGCTCACTAATATTGTTTTATGGAGCTTGAATTAACAAAAGAAATCATCATATGCATATATTATATTAAAGGAACAAACTATCAAACTATAATCAACATTTTTAGCATATTAGTCAGATGACTGGTGAAATCATGATATCCTAATTACAAATAGGAAGAGAGTCAACCAATTTGCAATATACTAAATTAAATTTATGATCTACTGAAAAATATATGAATACTTTATTAAAGTTCACATTTGAAATAAACAAAATAATCTTTACATTTTCATCAACATTTAATGTAGACTAACTACTGAGAACTATTGGAAAAGCTCATTCAAACTGGAAAATATAAACATACATTAATATTATGAATGTTAATATATATGTTTCATGTGTTTAATATTTGAAAACAAAAAATAAACCTGACACATTTTTCTTTAACATAAGACTGTCACTAAAACTTGATCCCAAACTCTTCATCACTTTATAAAATAAGAGTTACAGCAACAACAGTAGCCTGTGAGGTAAAGAGTTTCAGTGTATGTAAAATATTTATAAGCCAGTTATGCATTTTTAAAAGAGTAGATAGAATTCAAAGCTGGCTAGAAATTCAAAGAAGTTTCTTCTTCGTGTGGTGGTCTGAGTCTTTGAAGAAACTAGTGACTAGAAAGCAATATTATCAGAATATCATTAATCCACCAAAAATGCAGTGGTATTCAGTAATGAATAAAAACCTGAACTCAAGACTAAACTCAAAGGCAAAACTTTAGGAGCAAAGCTCATACTTCTTTGCAACCTACTTTAAGTATTTAGCACCTAATTGGATAAAACAGCAGCATGGATAGACTCAAGCGTGGCAACAGTCGTGAGGTTGGCCCAGGATCGGGCAGTGTTTTGTTCTGCTATGCATAAGGTCACTATGAGTCGGTACCGACTCAGTGGCAATTAACAACAACAACAAACCTTTACAATACTTAAAAGAATCAAAATGAAAAAATGAAGTTTCATTTTGAAAGAGATCTTTCTTGAGATAGCAAATCAGGCTATCATCACTTTTCTACAGTATTTTTGCGGATACTTTTATTCAATTTCATAAGGTAAACATACGTGGTGTGGTGTTGTGGGTTAATGCGCCAAACTACAAAGCCGTTTGAATGGCAAGGTCAGTGGTGCAAGTTCACCATCGCTCCTCAGAAACCCTATACAGGGTCACTATGGGTCGGACCTGACTCGACGGCACTCAACAACAACAAATATAGATTCAATAGAACCTTGACACTAATATCAAAGAAAGCAGACAAATTCAATACTTGTAAAACATCTATAGTAAATTGTTAAATGTTTAGACTTCCTGGTTATTTTTGGCTGCATGTATTTGTATATGGTATCTCCTATAAACATATCAAAATGCTGATGTTCTAAACATTATTTATACCATTCTATGACTCAGCAATCCCCCAACCTGATATACATATCCTAGAGAAATAAGAACTGCAACACAGATATATGAACACCCATGTTCATTGCAGTATCATTCACAATAGCAAAAAGAAGGAAACAACCCAAATACCCATCGTGGAAGAATGAATAAACAAATGTTGGTACATATAAAGTAATAATGTTCTCTGGTCCATGAAACTGTTTTGTCAGTTAGCTTTGCCCCAGGGTACACATGCTAATTGGATATTTCACACACTAGTTAGGCATGTCAATCAGCCCTGCCAAACCAAAGAATGTTGTCCTGGGTGGTGGTGGTTTTGTGGCATGGAGTCGGTTCCAACTCATAGTGACCCTGTATAAGGTTTTTGAGGCTGTAAACCTTTATGGGAGCAGAAAGCCTCATCTTTCTCCCACAGAACCATTGGTAGTTTTGAACTGCTGACCTTCAGATTAGCAGCCCAACTTGTAACCACTAAGCTATCAGAGCTCCTTTAGATAGTACAAATAGTTAGCCTTTCATAACTCATGGGACATGTAGCTTCCACACAAATTTTCAACCTCTCAGACTTTTTGGAAAGCTGCTTTCCCATTTGTAAGTATATGAATTTGAAGAAATGGGCTTCACTTTACTAATATTATTATCAAATTCCACTTGAGACATACGTGTCCTGCATGATTGTATCAAAATCCACATTAACTCAAAAAGATTTGTTTCCTTGATTTCAGCATGCTTTCCATTACTGAAAACACACAATATCAACACAAAATTCAAAGCAGAAAAAAATCAGTTATAAAAGGGTCAACATGCTCATGTGCTAACTGAAAGGTTGATGGCTCAAGTCAACTCAGAGGCACCTTGGAAGAAAAGGCTGGTGGTGATCTACTTCTGAATAATCAGTCATTGAAAATCCTATGAAGCTCAGTTCTACTCTGACATCCAAGAACTCAGTATTGATTCAATGGCACCTGATTGTGAAACCAAAGGAAAATCTGAATGCTGGGTGTCATTGGGACTAATGACCTGTTTTTGTGGCGGGAGGCCCCTAGTTTAGTATAAAAACACACAATTCAAAAGCAGGTTTGTCTCTGTGTTAACTTGGGTAGCTCTGTATTAATTTGGCAATATACAATAAGAGGGAAGTTGGCAAAAGAATAATGAAAGGAAGGAAAGACACAAGGGGGAAGGCAAGATTTAATGGAATAGAGGCACTGTAGATAAGCACTAAACTGCTAACCCCACTAACCACAAGGTTGGCAATTCAAAGCTGCCAATCACTCTTGGAAACCCTATACATAGGGTCACCATGAGTCAGAACATAACAACAATTGTTATTTACACAATCCTACAATATTAGTAATCTACTGGCAGATATCCTCAGGGTCAGCAGTTCAAAACTACCAGCTGTTCCATGGGAGAAAGATGAGGCTTTCTGCTCCTGTAAAGATTTACAGCCTCAGAATTAGTACAATGGAACACATGTACATCAGTTTCCATGAGTATTTCCAGAAAGAACTAGATGGTGCCCAACTCCCACTACCAACTGCTCTCATAGACATTAAGAAGGTCTGGATACAGTGGGAGAAAATGTGGACCAAAACTCAAAATTTAAAAAAAAAAATTGCAAGAAGTAGCTGATGAGCTTGAACTGCTGACCTTGCAGTTCAAACTGACTTTGCAATCCAGCACATTAACTCATAACACCACACCAGGACTCCTGTTATATTGGTCTCTAAATCCCCTTCAAAAAAATCTTCCTCTGGTTTTACTGTTGAGGAATTCATTCAGGGCCCCTTCTCAAGAATAAAGAAAGATCTAAAGTTACTCTTAGGGCCTGTCCCACATCTGAGAGTTGAGGATGCAGTGGTCAGTCCTGGAAATCAAGTTTCCATAATAAGCTCTGTTTTATTGTTGTTGTTGTTAAGTGCCATCGAGTCAGTTCTGACTCATAGCAACCATGTATAGGGTTTCCAAGGAGCAGCTGGTGAATTCAAACCACCAACCTTGAGGTTCAAACTGACCTTACAACGCACTGCTTATCCTACAGCACCACACCAGGAATCCAAGCTCTATTTTAGTGAAGCAAAACAACAAATCTGTTTCCAACCCTAAGACATATGCAAATTCTGACTATCACAAACCCACACAAACTTAGTTGTTCATCTGGTATATTCCTATGATCTTATGGCTAAGTAAATAAATAAATAATTGTCAATTATCCCTCCTGGTGTAGCACTGGACTGTGAACCACAAAGTTGGCAGTTCAAACCCATCAGCTGTTCCTCGGAAACCCTATACAAGGTTGCAAAGAGTCAGAACTGGCTCTACAACACTTAACAACAACAACAACACTTCATTTAAGTACTCAGCTGCTAACCAACAGGGTGGTGGTCCAAATCCAGTAGCTTTGATGAAGAAAGGCTTGATTAAACGTTTGATAAAGATTACAGCCAATAAAACCCAATGTGGGCAATTCTAATCTGTCACTTGGAGTTTCTGAGATGGAGTTGACTCAGTGGTACTTCAAACCAACACTTTGTTGCTGTTGTTGTTAAGTGCCATTGAGTTGGTTCAGACACATAGGGACCCATATAGGGTTTCCGAGGAGCATCTGTTGGGTTTGGTCACCAACCTTGTGTTTAGCAGTCCAGTGTTTATATCCTACAATATCACACCAAGACTCCAACCTTCATGTTAGTTTAATTCAGTGGTTTTTGTATTTTAGCCTGCATCAGAACCACAAACTTAACAAGCCTGTCATTTCTAAAATCAATTTATCTCAATGGGAGATCAAAACTGGTATAGGAACATAGAGCGAATTACAAAGAAATTCTTGTTGAAAAATAAAATCTAAACTGGATATTATACTACCCTCAAGCAACTCCAAATTTAGCTATGAATATTTTCATGGGCATGGAATTAAACCACTGGTTCTCTAAGTGTGATCTTAGAAGAAAGGCATCAGCTTACCAGGTCTTTTCTTCTGTGGAACTGCTAGGTGAGTTTGAACTACCATCTTTTTCATTAGCAGCCAAGCACTTAACCAGTATACCACCAAGGTTCCTTCTCCTCAGAACATCTGAGTCATAAAGTCTGGGGTGAGGCTCAGTAATCTATGTTTTAACAAGCCTTTCAGGGGAATCTGATGCAAGCTAAAACATGTTGTTGTTTTTAAGTGTCATTGAGTCAGTTCCAACCCATAGCAACCCTGTATAGGGTTTCCAAGGAGCGACTGGTGAGCTTGAACCACCAACCTTGCAGTTCAAATGGCTTTGCAGTCTGGCGCATTAACCCACAGCTCCACACCAGGACTCCAAAGCTAAAACATAGGACCACTGAATTAAACTGGACAGTGCTTCGTTCTGTCGCGCATAGGGTCACTATGAGTCGGTACTGACTCGATGGCACCTAACAATAACAACATATCCACATGATTTTTCTTTTATTGTTTAAAAGTTTTCATTTTTTTAGAAACATGATTTACTTATTAAAACAAAACAAAACAAAACAAAAAACCCTTTCAGAAGTCATTTGTTTTAGTCAAATTATTCAACCTTCTCTTACAACTACTACAAGCAATTGCCCTTTTTGCTCTTAGTGGTCAAATGGCCAGTAATAGGAGAAGCTACTAAAATGGTAGGCAGTAGAAGATAGTCTACCCCAGAAGATAAGAAATAATCACCTTCTGGGGTGATGTGCTCCCATAAAGATGATTGTTATGTTGGTAGGTGCCATCGACTCCATTCTGACCGCTTATAACTCTACCCAAACCCAAACTGAACCTACTGCCACTGACATTGAATTGATTCCAACTCATAGCAATCCAAATAGTTTCTCAGACTACATATCTTTGCAGGAACAGACAGCCTCATCTTTCTCCTGTGGAGTGACTCATGGGTTTGAACTACTGACCTTTGGATTAGCATTCCAGTGCTTATCCTGCAGCACTACCAGGGTTCCTTCATAATAAGACTTTTTTTGCTGCTAAGTGCTGTTGAGCCAGTTACAACTCACAGCAACACTGTATAGAGCTTCTGAGGAGCAGCTGGTAGTTTAAACCACCGACCTTGTGGTTAGTTGCTATTGTTAAGTGCTTAAATGCTGTTGTTGTTAAAGTGTTGTGAAGACAGTTCTATTCAAAATTACCCTGTACAGAGTTTCTGAGGAATGGCTGGTGAGTTTGAACCATCAAACTCGCAGCTCAAACTGACCTATGGTCCAGTGCTTATTGCACAGTGCCATAACCAGGACTCTACAATCAACAAAATGAAACACCATCCAATATGCATGATCCTCTTAATTTTTGCTGTGCTTCAGCCCATTGTTGCAGCCACTGTGTTAACCCATTTCATTGAAGATCTACCTTTTTCTTACCGACCATCTACTTTGACAAGTATAACGTTCTCCTCCAGGTTCTGGTCCTTTCTGATAACATGGTCAAAATACATGAGACAGTCTTGCCATCCACACTGCTAAGGAGCATTCTGAGGACACTTCTCCAAAGACAGATAGGTTTCTGTTTTTTTTTTGTTGTTGTTGTTTTTGTTTTTGTAGCCCATGTATCTTTAACATTCTTCACCAACACCATAATTCATGTGCATCAATTATTCTTGTCTTTTTTATTCATTGCCCAGATTTCACATGCATATAAAGAGATTAAAAATGTCATGGCTTGGGTCAGGCACACCTTAGTCCTCAAAGTGACATGTTTCCTTTCTAACACTTTAAAGAGATCTTTTGTAGTATATTTACCCAATGCAATACATTAGTTGATTTCTTGATTCCTATTTCCATGGGCATTGATTATGGATCCAAGTAAAGTAAAATCCTTAACAACTTCAATTTTTTCTTTGTAGATCTTGATGTTGCTTATTTGTCCAGCTGTGGCGATTTTGGTGTTTTTTTATATTGAGGTGCAACCCATATTTTGATCATCATCATTAAGTACTTCAGGTCTGGGAAACCCTGTGGCTCAGTTCTGTTCTGTCCTATAGAGTCAATATGAGTTTGAATATACTCAATAGCATGGCACAGCAACAAAACAATTATGAAATGAGACTTTCATTCTCTTACAGACACCCAGAACCACAAAAGTAGAGGCCCTCCTGGCCTTCTTCCTGGAACTCCAGATCCAGAACAAAGCCTTCATATTTCATCTTTCATCCCAAAGAACCAACTCTGGCAACCTGACCTGCCTCCGCCGGGTAGTCTGCCATCAACAGTCAATCTCCCTCCGGGACTGGAATATTTAAGTCAGGTGCATTTATCAAGTTCTACAAACAGTTTTCCTTTAAAAGGAATAGAAACTTGGTTTTCTTGGTTTCCAGTGCTTTTAACCCAATAATTTACTAAAGTGAAAAACTATTATGTCATAAATGATAAAATATTGATTTTATTTATTTATAGTCATGTATGAAAACATTTCATTGTTAATTCTATTTTCCTTATTTACTTGACATAGTGACTAGACTACATTTTTCTGACTGAGCTGTTTAGCACATTTATCCACCCCTGCTTATTGTGCAAGGTGTACATTATTGTTCAAATAATTGTCTATTTTGTCCAGTCAAAACAGCTGTTTAATGAAAGAATGTTTACTGAAAACCTGCTATAGTCAAGGCAAGCAGAAATTATAAAACCCAGTCATCACAAACTTTCTGCAACCTAATAGGCGAAACAAAGAATTGTTGATGAAAAATGTTTGTTAAGTGCTTTCAAGTAGGTTCTGACTCCTAGTGATCCTGTATAGGATTCCCAATGAGCAGCTGGTGGATTTGAACTGAAAACTTTGTAGTTAGCAGTCCAGTTCTTATCCTACAGTGCCACACCAGAACTCCTGTCTATACATTAATGTGAGATAAATGCACGATTGTAATTTATACAGGTATAATTTGTGCATAGGTATCCTATATTGTTGTTGCTATTGTTAAGTGCCATCAAGTCTGTTCCGACTCATAGTGCTCCTGTATAGGGCTTCTGAAGAGTGACTGGTGAGCCTGAACTGCTGACCTTGTTGCTCAAACCAACCTTGTAGTCCAGTGCATTAATCCATAGCTCCACGCCTGGACTCCTAGATACTCTTTGGAGTTCAGTTTTACTTTGATACATATGGGTCTCCATAAGTCTAGATTGACATGGCAGCAATGGGTTTTGTCTTTTGTTTTTGTTTTGTTTTTTCATTATGATAAGAAAAAGGTTGTCAAGTCTCCAGGTACTCATGAGAGACTTCCACAATGAGCTTGTTATGTTTCCCTGGTTTCTCTCTCTCTCAGGAGTCTGAGAAATTGTTCTCACTGAGCCATCACTCCTGCTCCCACACATACAATAAGAGTTCACTCAGAAGAAGCACTTTATTGCAAGCAATAGTACATTTCAAAGAGAAAATTGGGTCTGTCCACAAGTGGAGAAGACCCTGTGGAATTAAGGTGTTTTAACTAATAAGAGTATGGAGTCTCCTCCTCCAAGGGTGAGCTAATACATGTTGATTGGGGGTGCAGTGTGATGACATTTCTGTTGAATATTCATCTGTGTTCTTGGAAGAGGGGCAGAGACTTATAAGAATCTGGTTGAAACCCCCTTTCTGGTCTACTATAGTTACAGCCAGATATGTCATGGCAATTTCCATGGTGATTGGAAATTGTCATGGCACCAGAGGTGTGATTTTTAGTATTATAATGAGGTAAAGACTGATATAAGGAAGGGCACAGTTGCCCCTTGTGCACTTGAACCTCTACGTCACAAACCACAAGGCATGCCAGACACCTTTGTGGTTAGATGTTCAGCTATTTTAGTTGATCTGAAAGTATCTCCCCTGCTTCTCTTGATCCCCGCCTCTTAGGGGAAGACTTGGGGCAAAGGAGTGGCTATGAAGCCAACATAGGAGAGGTTCAGGGGTCCTAACCTGTTCCTGACAAGCTGAGATTTCAAAGTCTTCCACTGAATATCAAAAGCTAAAAATCCAAAGAAAACACATTTTCAGTTAAGATTATTGTATTCTGATGTGCTGCATCTCTAGACCAATGTGCTTCAAAGGCCATAATACCGTATAATCATTATGGACTCCTAGTGTGGTGTTGTAGGACAACACTGGACTTTTAACCACAAGGTCAGCAGTTCAAACCCACCAGCCGCTTCTTGGAAACCCTATACAGGTCACAGTGAGTCAAAACTGACTAGACAAAACACAAGAACAGCAACAACAATAATCATTATAGAAGCCCTGGTTACAGTGCAGAGGTTAAAGTGTGCAGCTGTTAACCAAACATTTGGTGGTTGAAATCACTAGATGCTCCACAGGAGAAAGTGGCGGTGGTAGTTGGTTTCCATAAAGATTTTCAGTCTTGGAAACAAACGCTAAGGGGCAATTCTTTGCCCTGTACAATCCTTATGAGTTGAAATCCTAAGGTTGGTTGGTTTTATGGTGGTGCTATAGGATATGCACTCTACTGCTAACCACAAGGTTGACAGAGCAAACCCATCAGCCATTCTATGGGAGGAAGATAAGGCTTTCTGCTCCTATAAAGATTTACAACCTCAGAAATCCTAGATAGCATTGCTATGATTCAGAATTGACTTGGTGGCAGTGCATTCTAGTCTTACCATTGGCAGATAAGCAGGATTCAACCATTATATTAAATCCATCAACAAATACCATCATCTGAATCATATGGCACATAAATAGCAATTGGTATTTATATATATTGTTGTTGCTTTTATATTTTATTCTCACAAAGATTAGACTAATATTGAGATGTCAGCACATCTGCTGCAATTTTCAGCTTATTTGGCATTCTTTCAAACTATAAAGTCTATCTCCTTTATCAAAATCAAATCTCTGTGTTAATTCCCTTAAGGTAAAAGAGATTTCTGTTATGCCTGATAGGGCTTAAGCTGTATGCAGCATATGTTCTTGGGAAAATGTTTATAATTGCAGATGCCTTATCCAGAAACCCACTGGCAGACAAATGTACTTTAGAGACTAGAAAGCACAGGGAGATATGTAAAAGAGCTGGGAAAGCTAACCTACCGTCTTCCATCTGCAGAAAGGATCAGCTGTAATAGCTGACTAGAGTTGATTAACTGCTGCAAGCTGTTTGGGAATGTTGTCAGACAAGGTTCTGCCAAGTATAAAAGTGATATACCAGTGCCAGAGGGCTGAGGTTTGATGATCACATATGGTCATCACATATTCTTCTTCCACCCATGAATGATGACACACCCGGAGCCAGATGCTTGACATGAATACATTTTTTTTTCAACATTCAATAAATACAAATATGAACCCACTGGTTTCAGTTGTAGTGAGTTTTCAAAAAATACACCTTTGGTAATCTATTTCAGAAAGTAAAAACATGCCACAAATTGACAAATATTTTCTTCTAAAAGGACAATTTATTTAGCTGATAATAAAAGAATGTTTATTTTATTTGCTTTCACAAAGTATACATACAAGAAGAGATGCCCTTTTAAAAAGTTGAATTCAATAATTCTGTAGGGGAAACAATATAAAATGTACTTTTGTATGTTAGCATTCATCTACAGCTACAGAATTCAATTATGATCCTTTGAGGAAAAGCACTTCTTCAATTAAAGAAGAAGAAAGATACCTATAAAACCTTCTAATTAAAAAAAAAACACTTGTGAGCAAATTATAGAGGAATCATGTATTACTTTTATCAATTCTATCCAATGACTACTATAATCTTATTTTGATAAACAATATAAAATAAAATTCCCACAAACAGCACAAAAGATCTTAAGACAGTAAAAAGTCATAGGACTACAGGAATACTACCATCAGGCATAAAATGTGAAGCAAAGAGTATCTGTGGTTATATATATTTCTAGTCATTGGCTAATGAGTATTTGTTGCTGGTGCTAAGTGTCTTCCAGTAGACTGAGACTCATAACGACCCTTAACAGGGCTTCTAAGATGATAAATCTTTTGAGGGAGCAGAAAGCCTCATCTGATAGTGCATCTGCTTTACTTTTGCTTATGTAAGTTAAATCTAAGAATAAAATATATAGATTCTCTTTCCAGATTTTATTAACATGTTCACAGTAGTCAATATTAACACGTATCCTCTATGTCAGTTGATAACCATTATTATAATTTAGTCACCACAGATAAGAATAACAAGTTTAAGTCTATAAGACACAAGTAAATATCTAATTTATTTTGATATGTATATACAAGGTAATTACTGATACCTGTGAATCCATTAAGACATACATAAGAATCTATCTAAAATGATATATCCAAGACTATCATTATATTTTCATTTATACAGCTTTCAAACTTAAGAAATGTTTTACTTGTCCTGACACATGAACATATGATTCAATGTCTTTACTGTATCCAGTAATTACTAGCCCATAAACTAATAGGAAATGATGAAAAAGACTCATTTGTATTATGGTGTGTGAACCAGGACCACTTAAAGCAAAGTTTAAAAACAACAAAATGAGATTTTCAAATCCAGGAGGTTTGCCCACAGAGAGATCAAATCAAATGAGATAACTGAAAAAGTAGAGAAAATAAAACAGAAAGGCATACAGAGTTCCATACTCTTATTTTAAAGATATTTTCCCATTTCCTAAAATTACTTTATTAAAGCAAATAGAGTAACAGCATAGAACACAAGTCAGCTCTAGTGACAATAAGACCTGGGTTCAAATCCTAGCCCATCCATTAACAAACTCTATGATGCTTGGCAATTTATTTAATCTCTCAGTTTGTTTCTTCCCATATAAAATGGGAGCCAGTACCTATCTTTCTGAAAAATTCTGAGAACTAAATAAGAAACTGTGTTAAAATATCTAGCATCTTACTTGTACATTGCTGGTAGGAATATAAAGTGTTACCATTACTGTGGAAAACAGTTTATTAATAGTTAAAAATAGAAAGACTATATGACCAATCATTATACTTCTATACCTGAAAGAAGTGACTCAGGCAAACACATGTACACAAATTGTCATTACAACATTATTAACTATAACCAAAAGGTAGAAACAACCCAAGGCCATCAACAGTTCAACTATAAAGAGAAATGAAGTTCTAATGCATATTTGAACATGGATGAACTTTGAAAACATTATGCATAGTGAAATAAGTCAACTTCAAAAGACAAATATTCTATAATCCAGCATATATGGAATATCTAGTAGAGGTAAATCCTTTGAGACAGCTGAAGATGAATACTTAACAAGGGATGGTTGGGTAATGGGGAGATTAAAGAAAAAAAATCTATGACT